CCACTCATTGCTGTTTTTTAGCTTTGTGGGTCGACTACTAGAATGTTGGGCGTGATGGAACTGTTCTATATTTTGCTGTCCAATATGGTCACCACAAGCCACATGTGACTAGTAAACACTTGAATGTGGCGAATGAGAAACGAGGAATAGAGTTTTAAATTTTATGACATCTCAATCGAACCCATTTACACTTAAATAACCACAAACAACTTGCGGCTGCCGTGTTGGACGGGCAGTTCTAGAAAGCGTGGCTGGTGTCCTCTGCCAGGATCTGTAGAGTGCGGATCAGCAGCCTGCTTCCGGAACAAGCCTAGACATGGAGCTAAGCATCTCAGAAAGGCAGACAGTGTCACAGTCACACAGCGGGGTGGCTGAGCTGGCTCAGATCATATCCTTCTAGCCCTGGCCCCCTACCTCCTGACAGTTCTACTAACAAGCAGATGACCTTCATGGATCTGAAACAGGGAGGGTAGAATCCGTTTACACAGTGGGCGCTGTTTCTAGAACCTTCTCCCCCCAGGCCTTCCCATTCTGACTTTGGTCTCCTCCCAAAAGTATGCGTTTTGTGTGGAAAGTCGGAGTATACCTTTGCTCAACTTTTGGAGCTAAGTGAAGGTAGTCGGGGTGCACCCAAAAAGGTGAGGGTGTCTGGGAACAGTGTTTTCATCCATTTCCTGCTTTCAAAGCAGTTTCGGGAGTTTTTGTTTCTTGCTATCTTTAGACATCCTGCTGACTCTGTAGAGCTGAACTCTTCACATACCTCATGTTCAGTGAAGAAAAGTGCCAGAGGAGGGTGGAGAAGGCAGGGTTCCAGAAAATCCAAATTATGAATGGACAGAGAACAGCACAGCCTCTGGCTACACAAGGGTGCTGTCCTCCAATAAGGAGAGGCTAGCTGTGCACCTTCTAGTGAACCAACCCCTGAGGACTGACAAAGGCCCTACAGTGCTACGCTGATAATTCTCCAGCAATAATCAACCAAAGATCTGTTAGAGCCTAAAACACCCACTGAGTTAATTTCTTAAATGCAAAGTGTAATCTCTCCTCAATAAGAAAAATAGGATGTTTGAACTGGGTATAAAAGTTCACCTCTAGACAGTGGTGGCGCGTGCCTTTACTCCCAGCACTTGGAAGGCAGAGTCAGGAAGATCTCTGTGAGTTCGAGGCCAGCCTGGTCTACAGAGTGACCAAGACAGTCAGACCTACCCAGAGAAACCCTGTCTGGGGGAGAAAAAGTTCACCAAGCTTGGAGTTTGTCTCTTCAGATGGCACAGCCCTGTTGGAGCTGCCTTTCCTTGGGTGCCTTTTTTGTTACCTTAGAAAGTTCCTGCTATGAGCAATTCTGAGATGGTCAGTTTGCTTTTGATACATTTTTAAAATTTGAGCTATATATTTTTTTCTGTTTCCCTCACTTCCTCCCCCCTTCTTTCCTCTTTTATGATTCCCATGCTCCCAGTTTACTCAGGGAAAATTGTCTTTTTCTACTTCCCATGTAGATTAGATCCATTTATGTCTCTCTTAGGATCCCCTTGCTATCTAGGTTCTCTGGGATTGTGAATTGTAGGCTGGTTTTTCTTTGTTTTATGTCTAAAAGTCACTTATGAGTGAGTGCATATTTGTCTTTCTGGGTCTGGGTTACCTCACTCAATATGATGTTTTCTAGATCCATCCATTTGTCTGCAAATCTCAAGCTGTCGTTATTTTCTTCTGTTTACTCCATTGTGTAAATGTACCACATTTTCCTTATCCATTCTTTGGTCGAGGGGCATTTAGGTTGTTTCCAGGTTCTGGCTATGACAAACAATGCTGCTATGAACATAGCTGAGCACATGTCGTTGTGACCTGGTTGAGCATCTTTTGGATATATACCCAAGAGTGGTATTGCTGGGTCTAAAGGAAGGTTGTTTCCTAATTTTCTGAGAAAGCTTTTGATATATTTTGAGATCTGTGTTCATTTGTTTCTATGGGTCTCCATTAAACACAGCTCCCTCTCACACTGTCACTAGATTTCATGCATCAATACAATATAATATCAACAAAACAAAACAAAACAAAAAAAGAAAAAGGACGAAAAAAAAAACAAGAAAGGAAAAAAAAAACAAAAAAACCCCAAAAAACAAAACAAACAAAACAAAAGAAGCAAAAGAAGCAAACCACCTGCGCAATGGTTCCGCTAGTAAAGGCACCTGCCGCACAGGCCTAATGACCGGATTGACCCCAGAACCCAAGTAAAGGTAGAGGAGTAAACTGACTCTGCAGAGCTGCCCTTTGACCTCCATGCCTGCACCCCTCTGTGTCACACACACACACACACACACACACACACACACACACACACACATGAACATAAATAAAAGCAAGAGAACCAGTGTACAGAGACCAGCTTTTCCGTGTTCCCAAGTGGAGGGAACTAAGTGAATTTAAAAGCAACTGCCATATGCAGCCACCTTCAATTGCAAAACCCCGTTTTAGGGGCTGGAGCAGTGACTCGAGGACAATAAAATTCTGGATGTGTAACATGAGGACCAGAGTTCAGTCCTCAGCACCCACACAGACGCAGGATGGCCGTGACAGCCTCTATGCAGTCCCGTGAGTCAGGCACATGGGATATCTGGAAGAAACTGGCTAGGTAGCCAAGCCAAATGGTGAACTCTAGATTTGAGTGGGAAACCCTGCTTCAGTCTAAGGCGGACGCTTCCTAGCATCCAGCTTCACTCTAATCAGCTGAGCTAAAGGCTCTGGCCAGCATAGCACTCGCCCCATGGACCTCTGTGACCTTTCTGGATAAGTGTACTGGAGACTTTTTGTTGTGGAAGCTACTTTTGCTCCTTTAGCCAATAGCCTTTGAGATACCAGCCCACTGGGGTGTGGTATCTTTCGCTTAAAAAAAAAAAAAAAAACGCGGCGGCAGCCCTCCGCTCTCTCTTGCTTTGGATTCCACTTCTGGCTATCAGAAGCTTTTCCTGGTCATGCAGGAGGCTGTTGTCTAGGATGGTGATCTGTAAGTTTTTTCCCTTTAAATAAATAACCCTTTTATTCATCACAATTCCAAATTGGTGTGGGATTGTTTTGTGACTTACTCCATTAACTTTTTCTATCACATCCCAGACCTTGTGAGTGCTCTGAGAATGCTCATCAATGTAGAAGTATGAGCGGGCGCACACCTTCCCTTATAATTTGAAACGGACCATGTGGCTTTAGAAGGGTCAAGGAAGACACCCATTGCCCACCTCTGGCCTCCATGTGCACACATGTACAAAGTACCAGTACACACTTGTGCACTCACCCACATGGTGACACATGTATACATGCCAAAAGAAAGTTTAAAAGGGCATTTAACACAAGGAAAAAAAGTGAAAAAAACTTTCAGAATTTTCCTTTTCTTAGGCAATTGAAGCCACCATTGTGAGTCTTTTAGGGGTGCCTTTGTAGGGAAGAAAAGAGAGGCTCATGATCCAGTCCTATAATACATTATAGGACTGACTCAGAACAAACCAGACACTGTAGTGTATCTCATGCTGAGACGAATGGAAACCGTACAAGCCAGGGCTCTAGGAAGCCAGTGAGAGCTGATTCAAACCTCAGACCCTCCCAACATGGAAGGCTGCCTCAGCAAACTGGGAAAGGTCACTTTCCCAGGAGGGTGTTTATCTATCAACACAGCTGGCTGGTCTGAAGTCTTAAGACTTTTATTTACGAGGATACAATAGACAGAGAAAAGTGATAGATCCAGTTTTTCTCCTGACCACTCATTCACTGTGAGCTGGGACCAACCGAAGTCCTCCCTGAGAATGGGATTCCTGGTTGAGAAAAGACCTTCTGGGAAGTGGCAGGACCCCCACCAGGTGGGGTTCCTCTTGTGTAGTGCCCTCAGTACTAGTCAAGGGTGTTCCCAGAAGTTGGCAGCAGACAGCCTTGTCGAAGAAAGAGGACCCAGAGTGAGTGGTGGAGAGAGGCGTAGGGGCTTAGCTTGCGGGGCTGGGCATCTCAGATCTCCAGAGGATGGAAGATGTTATTGTTAATGTCAGGGATGGGTCATCCTTGGGACTTCAGAGGGGTGGAGAGATGTGAGGCCGCCTTTGGGGGGCTAGAGAGATGGCTTAGCGATTACGAACACTGACTGCTTTTCCAGAGGATCCAGGCTCAATTCCCAGCATCCACATGGCAGCTCACCACTATCTGTAACTCCAGTTCCAAGGGATCTGATGTCTTTACCCAAACAAACATAAAGACAAAACACCAACGCACATAAAATAAAACAGAACAATTTTTTTTTTAAAAAGCCACCTTTGAGGCAAGTATCACTTGCTCAGAGGTGGGAGTTGCAAGACCCTCCTCTTATGTATGCCGGGTTTGGGGTCTCTGCTGGGTGAGAGGTGTGAGTCCATGTGATCTCTCCAGTCCTTAAAAAAAAAGCCAGGCTCGAGATGTGCCCAGGACATATCTGCCTCCTCAGCCCACCTTGTGATTCACCAGAAAATAGATTCAGTGAGGTCTAGGCTACATAGCTCATAAGTGACAGCAAGGGGGCAAGCAAACAACAAACAACCGGATTTTAGGCTAATGCCTGACCTTTGCCAGAAAGACATACATTCATTCATTTATTCATTCATTCACATTTATTGATAATCTACTTAGTAACAATCTTTATTTTTAAGTTCTGATGCTACCAGAAGACAAAAATTAAAATGTCTGTATTTGGTGTTTCTGTAGCCCAATAGGATTGATTATATAAGCATAAATAGGGTGCAGGTGGTACTTTTTCCTTCAGGGCATCCTTGCGGTGGTATGAGAACCCACTCCACAACTCTTGTCCAAAACTCAAAGCCATACTCATCTTGGAGACCTGTGGGTAGCAGGGTTAGAAATGGTTCCAGAAGCTTGGGGCCCGGCAAGGTCCTTTCCCTGGGGCAGAAGCCCCTAGAATGTAAGATTGGTGGGTCGCCCATGGCCTTACGGTACCTGGCCCTGCTGTCATCATTTTCTTCCTGTCTCCTCAGCTGTGTGCCAGCCTCCCTGTCAGAACCGGGGCTCCTGCAGCAGGCCCCAGCTCTGTGTCTGCCGCTCTGGCTTCCGTGGGGCACGCTGTGAAGAGGTCATCCCTGAGGAGGAATTTGACCCCCAGAATGCCAGGCCGGTGCCAAGACGCTCAGTGGAGGGGGCACCCAGCCCTCACAGGAGCAGTGAGGCCAGAGGAAGTCTTGTGACCAGAATACAGCCGCTGGCACCACCACTACTACCAGCCAGGTAAGTCTTCTGCTGGGGGTGGGGGTCGGGGCCAGTGAGACAGTTGCTCATCGGTAAGGAGGCAACAATGCTAACAATTAAATCATAGGTTGGTGAGATTGAATTAGTGTGCTCGGACAGCACTGAGTGCATGTGTTCTTTCCAAATCCCTCCCCGCTTTATCCTTACCCCCATCACCTCCTCCATCTCCTCCTACTCCCTGCCCAACACTGTGTTCTCTATGGTGATATGTTCCTTCACCTAAAATAAGGAGACCCCCATTCTGCTCACTCCACCAAACTTCTCCCTTTGGAGGAGAAGGATCCCTGCCCTACTTGCCCTCTCCCCTACTTCTGGCTAGACCTTTCTCTAGCTTAGAACTGGAAATCTGAACTTTGTAAACCGGCTCCTTTCTAGGATACTGTTTGCTTTGAGCTTTTTAGGTTGGTTTTTTCCATTCGCATCCACTTAGGGAGGAGTTCTTTCTGAAATGCTGCAACCGACCTTGTCTTGCTGAACCAAGGGGAAAATAGATTTGCCATCTCAGAGCCAAGAGAACCAAGGGGAGGGAGGATGGATGCTGAGGTCAGATCCTTAGCAGCCAGGTCGAGAGAGATCTGCTGAGTGGTAGGAAGAAGAGGAAGGACAGGCGGGAGCCACGAAGTATCTCTGAGAGCAGGAGGCACGGGCAGGCTACTCTGAGGTAGCAAGGTGCAGGTAGGCGTGGGGAGCCTGAGTGCCCAGACATGTGCTTTCCAAGGGCCGTCAGAAGCAGGGAGAAAGAATAGGTGAGCTCAGGTTGAGGCTCAGGGAGCTCCAAGATCAAAACACAATAGTCATCCACGGCCAATGCCTGCAAACGTTAGGGCAGAATCAAGGGTCTCAGTGCTCAACACAGAGGGAACCCACAGATGACCTGGGGTTAGCTATGAGATGGTAGGTGGTGCCTGGCCCTTGCCCTGATTGTTATAACTATATAACATAGTATATGCTATATACACACACATATATATGTATACACACACACACACACACACACACATATATAGTGAGCCCCAAGCAAATAGGCCTATGTTAAGGCACATACCAGATGCCAGCTTGAGGTCATGTTTCCCTCTATAGCACTTCCACACTCCATTGTTCCTTGAACCAGGACCACTCGGAGAGTAAGGACACTTGGTCCTGTGTGTCCATGAACGCACTGTCCCTGACATCTAACACTGTGCCTGACATGGTACAGGCGCTTAATCCATTTGTAAAAGAATGACTGCAAGGTGAGAAGTCTAGGTTGTGCGTGTTTTGTATCCTAGGGATATTGTCCTGAGATCTGAGTGAAGTCTTTGGCCCATAGTAGGGCTATGCTCGACTTTCACAGGCTTTCAGGCCAGAGGCTGCCGTGGTATCCTTAAGGGACTGCAGCCTCCAGGTCAGTCCCATCCCGTTCTGCCCTGAGACCTCCAAGCATGAAATCTGGGCAAGTCTAAGTGCCCCACTGTCGGCTGCTGTCCACCCAGCTGTGTTTTGCTTTGTGAGGCCAAAGCCCGCATGCCTGGTCGTGCTAAACATTTCCTGTGAGCTGAGTCAGGTTTCCCAAGCAGCTGCTGGCCTATGTCCTGAGAGCAGTTTGGACAGGCCATGCCTGTCCCGAGAAAGGAGAGACATGACACAGAGGACATTCTAGGAGTGGGAAGGAGGGTGGGATGTCGGGAGGGAGAGCCCTGCAAGAAGTGTGATGGCCAAAGCCCTTTTAGAAGAGCTCTAGGTAGAGACTAGGGCCCGTGTACCGTTTCCATGTGCATTTAAAGGGAGATGAGAGAGGGGGTCCTGGAAAGTCACAGCAGCAGGCAGGATGCCCATGGAGGCCAAGGGATCTTGCTGTCCCTGGCTGGGCAGAGGGCCTGCCCACCTATGAAACAACTGAGCAATGGCTGCAGGAGACGGGGCTGGTTCCAGGAGACAAGTCGGCCCTGGGAAACTGCTTTAGACCAGGGTCTAACCTCGAAGCTGATTTCTGGGAACTTGTCAACAACTCACAGCTTTTGATGCCACAGTCTGGAGTAAGCCAGCGTCTCTGATGTGGTCCCAGGGATGTTAGCCATGGTGCTGGTCTGTGGACCACATTTCAGGTTAGCGCGTGGGTCTGGGGTTCCGATAAGCCTTGGCCCTTGTTCAGAGTTTGCACTCACCATCTGTGTGACATTAGTCACACACCCTAATCTCTCAGAACCAAGAGTCTCCATCTGATAGGATCGTGGGGAGGATGAAATGACACCAGTTGAGTAGGGCGGTTTGCACGGTATCTGATTCTAGTATTTTCGTATGGTAGCCATCAGTGGGCAGGTTCTTTCTGCTACGAAGACTTGAGAATAGAAAAACGTGTGTGTGTGTGTGTGTGTGTGTGTGTGTGTGTGTGTGTGTGTGTGTGAGAGAGAGAGAGAGAGAGAGAGAGAGAGAGAGAGAGCCTGTGTAGACTTGTTCTGGAACAAAGGAAGGGTTAAGATTCAGCTCACGGGAGGTATGACAAACAGATCCGCTAGGAGTAGCTTTAGCTGACTTGGGGGTATGATTATTATACCAGGATCATTGTCACTACCTGCATGAGAGAACACAAATCAGTGGAAAGTTTCTAAACCAGGCACAAGAACTTACTGCTCTGGAGAAGGTCTCTCTCTCCCTCCCTCCTTCCTTCCCTCCCTCCCCGCCACCCCATCCCTCTTTTTCTCACTCTTAAATCTCAGCTGAGAACTTCCTTTACCTCCTATGTCCCCTTCCTTGTTGTTAGCAGAGGCAGTTGTACAAGTGTGGAGAGGCCACCTGGAGGTTTACCCCCATCCTTTAACTCCCCACTGCTGCCCAACAGAGGAGCCCAGAGTGGCTGGGTGGTTGCAAACACTCTTCTCGCCCAGAGAGTTGTACAGCCTGTGGCCCAGTGCAACCTTCCAGGAGGGGGGGGGCTGCTGTTTCCCACCTCCTTCACAAAGCAAACTGCTTCAAGCTAGGCTTCTCCAACTGGGCTTGACTACTGAGTTTCTCTCTATGCTCCCTGAAAGGTGAAAGGATCTCTGGGCCTTTGTAATGTTAGCATCTACCCAACCAATAGAGACATCTGAGACTTAGAGAGTTTGGGTCCTGGGCAAGACGGGGCTGGCCTTGGGGTACACTTGTGTAAATATAAAAAGACTGGGCTTGTCAGGTGGGGCACACCATTGATCACTGCACTCGGGAGGCAGACGCAGGTGGGTCTCTGTGAGTTCTGGGCCAGCTTGGTCTACAGAAAGAGATCCAGATCATTCAGAACTACACAGTGAAGCCCAGATGTAGCCCAGGGCATGTAATCCAGCTTTGACCTTAGGGGTAGAGGTTCAGGGAGCAGTTTTGAGGAGGGCGGAGGCCTTCTCAAATGTGGCGGGGCCAGGGAATCTCCTCCTTCAATGCTTGGCACAAAGCAGACTTATCTAGGTTGCTGAGGCAAGCCTCAGCTTGCTCAGGGGAACAGGGACCAGGAATCTTTTAGAATCTGTCTGCTACCATTAGGGAATAGACAGTCCAGTTATACTTCCCAAAATCCTCTCTTCCTTTCCCCTACTTGTAAGTCTGAAAGAGGACATCTGGTCCAAGGAGACCCCCCCGCCCAAATCTCTGATGAAATCTGGGTATTTCTCCTTTCTAAAAACCTCTCAGAGCTGAGGACTGTCAGGCTGCTGCCATGGCTTTGGTTTTAGAACAGAACTGCATTAGCATTCCATCCGCGTAACAAAATACCCGAGTGTTTAACTTATAAGAAGAAATGGTTCGTTTTTTTACTCAGTTTTGTAAGTTCTAGTCGAAGATTGAGCAGACCCATTGTTTCAAACTTCTGGTGACCAAGCCAGAGTATGTGATAAAACAAGACGCTCATTTCATGGCTAGGAAGCAAGAGATGACGAGGAAGATGCTGGGGTCCCAAGTCCTCCTTGATGCTATGTCCCTCCTCACCAGTGGCTGAAGAACCTCCCACTAGTCCTTCACCCCACCTACATCTCCCTAAAAATCCTACCAGCTTCAGATAGCACCTCCCTGGGGATCAAGCCTCTCACACACAGACTCTAGAGGGACTGTCTAGTTGCACACTACTACAAGGATTCAAGGCCCAGCCCCAGCTCTTTACAAATGCTGAGAGTTCAGCTACTAGTCTCCTATTGGCCCACAACCTGCGGGTCAGTGATGGCGGCCACAGATTACCGCTGCCACCGGCACCATGGCCACCACCACCACCACCACAGCAACGATTCCCGGCATCCCTACTATTGACCCTCCTTGAGATCCCTGCATGAAAGTCTCCAGCATAGTGTTAGGTAGGAAGTGGATGCTGTTAATCATTGTCCTTGAAGTATGAATGGGGACAGGGCAGGCAGCTCCTAGGAGCAGAGTAGAGGGGGATCCCTAGAGTTCCTTGCTCTTTAATAGTGGGTCTAGATTTCCAGCTATCGTGGATGTTCAGGTTGAGATTGGGAGGACTGGTGCTGTGGTTAGGGTGATATTATTTCAGTTGAACCGTGGCGTGGTGGTTACAGTGAGATTGGCAATATGCCTTTCGTGTGGCGTGAGAAGAAGGCTGAACCTTAGGGTTGCGGTAATGCAGAGCTTAGACTGTTGGTCTTTTGAATGGAGTATGGTTGTTGTTTTAATCTAACCTCCGTTGGAGTCTTAATGAGGAAGCTGGGGTGCTTTATGGGTTCCTCCTAACCCAAAACTGGGGACGAGAAGGCGCAGGGGTTGAGAGTGTGGCTCCTAAGTCACACAGACCACAGTTTCATATGATTCCGCTCGCCAGCTGTGGGATGTGGTGGGTCCTTTTTCACTTCTGGGAGGCTCAGTGTATAGGGCTCCTGCTAATGCTTGACCACGCACAGCACGCTTGACCGCACACGGCTATGGGTTGAATGATGACAGACCTAGGAGAAAATGCTGAGTCACCCAGTTCAGGGTGCAGTACCCCACCACGGGTAGTGTTTCTTGTTTGGATCTGAGTTCCAACAGGA